TTCCCTTAAGACCACCTGAGAAACATTTCTTGGACCTGCATGTTTTAGCCCAGTTTCTAGATCACTGCATGACCATGCTGGTTAAACTGTAGTCTGTGAAGCAGGTTGCAGCAGTGAAGGATTCAAGCTAGAACAAGATAAATGGCAACTACATAGATCATGTAGATGCCCACTAATCACTACATCTGTTGGTCATGTTACAGGCTACTGAATGATTAGCACTGCACTGTGAATGCAGTCCATCCTTGACTCTTCCCCTGTTGGTTGGCTGCTTGGATAGAGTAAAAAAACAACACCCAACCCTACAAGAACAGTAATGAGTAATATTCAGCAGACATCAAGTGGGCTCCAGCACTCTGCACATGGTGTTCTTCCATTTCCCATACCTCCACCTCTCATACACAGTAGGTCCATGTTACAGTGGTTTTGGGCACCTGCCACAATCCGGGTTTGAGGCCTGGGATCCTCCTCCCATGCTTACTCAGTTGGAACAGCAGTGGATGTTTATTTTATATATTTATTCATTTATATCTCGTGTTGCTCCCCAGTGGGATCCAACGCAGCTTACATCCTTCTCCTCTCCTCCATTTTATCCTCACTCAAACCCTGTGAGGTAGGTTAGGGCACTGAGAGTCTGTGACTGACCTAAGCAAGCTTCCACGGCAGAGTGGGGATTCAAACCTTGGTCTCCCAAATCCTGGTCCACCACTCTAACCACTATACCACTGTGGCTGTCATGCTGTTTTCAGTTTGGTGTCTGTGCTCTACAGTGGATTGGCAGTTAGAGTTCTGAGCAGAGCAGTGCTAGAGAAATGCTGTAGTAATACCTGATGTCCTCCTTGGATGTGTATGCAAAAGATGTTTACAGCAAAATGCCAATCACCGTTTGTTCCCCTGCACCAGTCCCCTACTTGTTCTAAGTAGGAAACCCTGTGCTGCCTAGTTTATCTGGCTGGAGCTTATGTAGTATTTAGCTGTGATTAGCTGCAGATTTAATTTATGTCCTATGGGGAGCCATGGTTGTGTTGCAGAGCAGCTGTTGTGTCTATTTCAGTGTTTTCACTGGCATAGCATTATGCTGCTTCCAGGAGCATGGGACATGGCTGAGGGGTTTAGCATGGAAACTGAATCCTGTTTCGTAGTGCTACCCATTTCTGTCCCTTACACTAGCACAGCTGCACTAATCCAAAGTCTGTACCGATGTGGGGTTAACTACCTGAACAGATTGTCAACAAGTGTTTGGATTATGCCATTAATAACTCTTAAGTTTCCAGTGAGGTTCATAAATAAGTAAAAAACAATGATCACATTAAAACATCACATTAATGTTCACTCAGGCCAGGAATACAACAGACCACATTAGATTATTGTAATCTAGAAATTACCAAGGTATACATGATGGTGCCGGTGTCCTTTTGATACAGAGGTGGTTCAGCTGGTGGATCAGCCTATCCTGGTAAAAGGCACTCCTAGTAACACTCACTAAATGAGATTCCAGAAGTGATGGTAGTGCCATCCCCCCCTCCCCCCCCCAAAAAAACCCCCAAGCTACAAAGTGGATCCTTCGAGAATGTTTCCTCTGCTAACTTGTTTGTTCAGAGAATATCACCTCTGTCTTGCTGGACTGGATTTAAGTTTATTCACCCTCATTCCCATCCCCAGACACACATTTAGAACAACTGCGTCTTCCAGTGAGAACAGAGTTGGATGTCACCTGTGTAGTGGGGATCTCTAAGCAACATTTTAAATTGTATTAAATAAGTTTCCTTTTTAAGTCAGCAAATACTAAATTTAATTAGTACATTCTTTAAAGTCCAGATGCATTAATTTCCTGAGATATTCCAACAAAGGTAATTTCCCTACTTGTTTGAGAAGATGCTTGATACATTATTCATTAGCTGTGATTGCTGAACTGAACTTGAACCAATATTTTTGTACCTGAAAAGAATGGAATGTCTTGCCTTATCATAGTTTGTATTCCCCGTCTGGCTGTGTTACAAGAGCCGGTGGATTTTCCTTTGATGTGCTGGAAAGTAACTGTACCTATATCCTTGATATGGTCTCCGTTGAGGCTATTTGGGGCCTGGGTGTAACTGATTTCTTGCAACGTCTTTCTCAGGTGACCCCAATTCATAGGCAACCCCAGTTCATACGCAAGAGTATGTCAGAGTACAGCTTTCTTAAGTCATGTTTGTGGCCTGAAAGTGGCTGCCAAAATTGTACTTGAGCATTCAGGAGAGGAAAGATTGATTTCCTCTCATTGCCTTTCCCACTGCAGACTCCCACCTTGCTCTCAGTGCTGTCTCCTGAGGGTCTGCTGACCCCCGGGAGCAAAAGTCTGAGGACTTGATGATCTGCAGCAGGATGGGAAAACAAAGACACTTGCTCCTCAAAGTTTGCAGATGGTTGGATACCTCACTGCGTTAAACAGGCTGAAAGCAGTTTTGAAAAGGTATTTTCTGCTTTCTTAATCATACTTGCACTTTGATACCTCTGCCCCAAGTATCTTCATGTGAAGATTTTGATCGAGGAATCTATCAGTGCTACTGTCAGTGCTTAAGCTTCCAAAGAGCTGTCACTTCCTTCACTGTCCCTTCCTTCACTTTTATATTCAAAGATGCAGAAATCTCTCAGTTGCTTGGGATGGAGTTGGGGCTGTAAGTGTAACAATATAATTGTATAACTTTGGATGTTGTACTAACTACAGAGACATGACTGTTTTATGCATGCATCATCCTCTGCTTCTTTCAGTAACTTAATCAGTGTAATTGTTCTGGTTGATCATAGTTAATTATGTATAACGCTGTCATCTATGGCAAAAACCTTAAGTGGTGTACTGTTTTTAAAAATATAATCAGCAAAAGAACTTGAAGCAATGTATCCTGCTGTTTTATTTCCATTTCATTTGTATCAGTTCATTGCTTTTTTCCTTTCAGATAATAATTACTTTTTAGTTTTCATGTTAATTCGTCTTATTAGAGCTGAACTTTCTAAAGCTACCACTTCCCTCTAACAGAGGAAAAGAGTCTGTTTGTTGACGAATACCTACTTCTTTTCAAAGCCACTGTTGAGATTTAGTAATATAGTGGCTAAAATATGAGGTGTAAGTTAGGAAGCCCTTACCTGAGATCTTGACTCCACCATTAAGTTAATGACTATGCTGTCCTAAGCAGAGTAAGCCCATTCCATTTGATGGGCTTAGAAGCATATGCCTCTTCTTAGGATGACACTGTAAGTGGGCTTATGTCTCAAGGTCTACTTTCTGCATTGCTTGCTGTAATTGGGGGATTATATTGGCCAGCCTCAAAACTGCAATTAGTAGGAATGTATATGAAGCTCTGCAGAGTAAGAGGATATAAGAACATAAGAGAAGCCAATGTTGGATCAGGCCAATGGCTCATCTAGTCCAACACTCTGTCACACAGTGGCCAAAAATATCAGGAGCTCCACCAGTGGGGCCAGGACACTGTTGACCCCCCCAAGCACAAGAATACAGAGCATCACTTGCCCCAGATCAAGAGTTCCTATCTCTACCTTGTGGTTAATAGCCACTGATGGATCTCTGCTCCATATGTTTATACAATTTCCTCTTGAAGCTGTCTATGCTTGTAGTCACCACCATCTCCTGTGGCAGTGAATTCCATGTGTTAATCACTCTTTGGGTGAAGAAGTACTTCCTTTTATTCATTCTAACGCAACTGCTCAGCGATTTCATTGAGTGCCCACAAGTTCTTGTATTGTGAGAAATGGAGAAAAGTACTTCTTTCTCAGCCTGCTCTATCCCATGCATAATCTTATAAACCTCGATCATGTCACCACTCAGCCGTCGTTTCTCCAAGCTAAAGAGCCCCAAGCATCTTAACCTTTCTTCATAGGGAATATGTTCCAACCCTTTTATCATTCTAGTTGCCCTTTTCTGTACTTTTTCCAATGCTATAATATCCTTTTTGAAGTGTGGTGACCAGAATTGCACACAGTATTCCAAATGAGGTTGCACCACTGATTTATACAGGGGCATTATTATACTGGCTGATTTGTTGTCAATTCCCTTCCTAATAATCCCCAGCATAGCATTGGCCTTTTTCATTGCAGTTGCACACTGTCTCGACATTTTCAGTGAGTTATCTACTATGACTCCAAGATCTCTTTCTTGGTCAGACCTTGCCAGTTCAGACCCCATCAACGCTTATTTATAGTTAAGATTTTTGGCCCCATTGTGCATCACTTTGCACTTGGCCACACTGAGCCCCATTTGCCACATTGACACCCACTCACCCATCCTCGACAGATCCCTTTGGAGTGCCTCACAATCCTCCCTGGTTCTCACCACCCTGAACAAATGATGTTGGAATAGGTTGAACTATTAAAGTTATGTCATATGCTATAATACAAATAAGCAGTAATCTGTCTAATTATGTCCCCGGACTATCTGGGGACATATTGTGAAATATAGTCTAAGAGACTGTAAGCAGACAGCCCCTGTGTCAATGCATAACATGACTTGAATATTGTGTTTTACCACTTTTCATTTATTATGTTCATATATTTTTATAGCAGTGTGGCTCATATTTTTAAACAGGTGCTTTTTTAATTTAAACAACCTTAGCAACAGATGGCTGGTTCAGTATGAGATATTCAAAACCACTGTAGCTAAGGAGAATTCATCTGCTTAGATATATTAAGATAATGCCCTTCTATTTCACAGGTCATCACTAGGAACATGACTGCTTTCATGAGGACACTTGGTAGCATTTCTTACTAGACTGGAGCACAGCTTTTAGTCTTGAAATACCGCATCTGCTGAGCTTTAAGGTGGTTCTGGTTTAATTAAGTCCTGCTTTAAGCTGTCGAACTGCTATTGTTAAAGAGTATTACCACTCCTGCCACCCACATGATTTTTTCAATGCAGAGTTAGAAGGAAGGAAAAGGAGGAATTGAGAGAATGTGCTAAGCAAAGATGAAGCTGCAGAAAGGCATTTCTCCTGTAGTTCTCCCCCCCCCCCACCGCTGCTGCCACTCTACATATGACTGAATTCCAGTGGATGCTGTCCTTAATTCCAGGCTAGAAGTGCAGGACATGCCTTTTTGTGGTAGCATATTCATTTGAGTAGCAGAAGTTTGTACTGATAAATACCTAATCTGTTTGTTTTAGTGTTTCCCTATGTAACGCCCAAAGGAATAAATGGCATAGACTTTAAAGGAGAAGCTATAACTTTCAAGGCAACGACAGCTGGAATCCTTGCTACCCTTTCACATTGTATTGAACTAATGGTAAAACGTGAAGAGTGCTGGCAGAAGAGACTGGATAAGGTAAGGTCCTGCAGCATCTGGTATCTGTATGGGCTGTAAACTGTATTTGAGGATGGCAAAGCTTGGGTTCACACTCAGTTATATACTTTAAATATGTGTTTGGTGAAAGGTGTTCGAATATCAGCAAAATATCATGTTGCATCCTGGTCTTTCATCCAGGCATCACCTGATTGTCCCCTATTGGTTGTTGCCATTATTTCTGTCTTACAAATTGGTATTTCAGATTAAAGCACAAGGTTAAAGAATGTTTAGATCCAATTGAGAACCAGGAAAACCCCTCTACCCATTACTAAGAGTGCCGTTCAGACATTTGGAAATGTTTATGGCTGTTGTTGAAATAATGTCACAAAGTTTACTTCAACACTTTTGATGAGAAATAGTACTAGGCTATTAGGGATAATTATTTAACTCTGTAGAGATGAATCCAGAACTTAAAATAAAAAGCAAATGTTTCTTTTGAAATTCTACAGTGCTCTTGATAAACATGTTTTAATAAGTACCAGTTCTTAACAGAAATGTTTTAAAGGTATGAATAAAGTGCTGGTATGTGATAGAGGACTTTGAACAGTTTTACTTGGAAGTTTCTATTTCTACACCCTTATTTAAATAGCATACCTGAAGTTTGATATCAACTTTTGAACATACACACACGCTCTCTCATGCTGTTTTGCTGATAAGGGAAATAATGAACAAAAAAACAAAATCCAACATTTTGAGAACTTTCGTTTCAGTGATAGAGCCAGCGTGTGAAACGGGCTAGACCTTACTTCAAAGCCATTTTAGTTCTGTGTCCTCTAGTAACTCTTTATAAATGTGAGATCCTGCAAACTGCCAGTAGAAGGCATCGATGGAAGAATATCTTTGCTTTCCTTTTGCTTCTCCCAGGAGTTCCCCAAGGCCCCTGAAAAGCCAGTTCTGAGGGTCAAAAGAGCTTCATATGCCATGAGGCAAGGGTGGGGGCTGTGGAAAAGACAATAAATTGGGTAAAAATTCCTCACCTGTGTGAATGAAAAGCTTCCTGTGCCATATTTTCTACTCAAGTGAAAGAGAGGTGATTTTGCCAGATTCCCTCTACTTACTTCTCCACCACACTACCTGCTGCTTTGTGACACTTGGTCTACAAGGTGTCCTTGACCCCCAGCATCCAGTCTTCAGAGAGCTTCTTGGGTGGATGAAAAGGTAGAGCAGGATCCAGCATGCTCAATTCATAGAATCTAAGCCAGAGTAAATGCTGCTGGTGGGTAATTTCTAGTACATTGCTCTAGAGCTGGAATAGTACAAAAATATGCAAGAATTAATTTATTTTTCTGATTTTGCTCATACATGCTATTGCCCCTGAATGTTTTTAAAAATTCTGTCTGTTAGAAGGAACAAAATAAGAGTGTAAGAAGAGCTCTGCTGGATTAGACCAGTGGTCCATCTAGTCCAGCATTCTGTCTCACACAGTGGCCAGTTCCTCTGGAGATTGACCGAAAACTGGACATAGAGGCTGAGGTTTTCCCCTGGTGTTCCCACTGACACTGGTATTCAAAGGTTTACCGCCTCTGAACATAATGGTTTCCATTAGTCACCAGAGTTAGCAGTCAGTGATAGACCTATTCTCCATGAATCTGTCCAGTCCCCCTTTAAAGCTGTTTATGCCTATGGCCACTACATCCTGTGGCAACAAATTCCACATTTTAATCACTTACTATGTAAATAAGTATTTCCTTTTGTCTGTCCTGAATCTACTGCCAATCAGCTTCATTCGATGCCCTCAAGTTCTAGTATTTGGTGGGAGGGAGAAAAATATCTCTTTGTCAACTCTCTCCACTCCATGCATAATTTTATAAACCCCTATCATGTCGTCATCCCCCCCCCCCAGTTACCTCTTTTCTAAACTGAAAAGTCCCAGACTCTTCAGCCTTTCCTTATAGGGAAAGTGCTCCAACCCCCTAAATATCTTTGTCCTCCTCTGTACTTCTTCCACCTCTGCAATGTCCTTTTTGTGATACGGTGACCAGAACTGCATGTAATATTCCAGATGAGGCTGCACCATAAATCTGTACAGAGGCATTATAATATCAGCAATTTTATTTTCAATCCCTTTCCTAATAATTCCCAACATAGAGTTTGCCTTTTTCACCTTTGCAGCACACTGGGTTATTTTCATTCAGCTGTGACTTCAAGATGTTTTTCTCTCTCACCCTCAGCAAGTTCAGACCCCAGCAGCCTATACTTGAAGTTGGGATTCCCCCCCCCCTCCCCAGTGTGTATCACCCTACACTTACCAGCACTGAACTTTATCTTCCCCACTGTTACCAACTAACTCAATTTGTGAAGATTCTCCTGGAGGGTCTTCACAGCCATCTTTGGTTTTCACCATCCTGAATAATTTTGTGTCATCTGCAAACGTGGCCACTACTAGTTAAGAACAGATTTTGAGGGAAACTATTGAAGTGTTTATGCAGTTGCTAGCCTCTGTTTGGGCAGAAATGTGTGATATAAATGTTAAATAACTAAATTGTAGCAAAATTGTTTTCATCTATTTTCTGTGTCTATTTTCTGTGTCTGTATATTGTGTTTGTACAACTGTACATCTCTTCCTGATGATTAGCAACTGTTCAGCAGTTACTATAAAAAGCAAACAAACTATGATTTTTCACTAGGTAAACAGATCTGGTTAAGCTGTATCAGGTTGTTATAGATTTTCTTTGTACTATATGTTGTCGAAGACTTTCAAGACCACGGCCATACAGCCTGGAAAATCTACAACAACTAATTTCTTTGTACTGTTAGTACTGTTGGATCCAACATTCCTCTCTGCCTTTGCATCTTGCAGCGTGATCCAGTAATTTATGAAGGTGCTATCAGATCATGTTCTAATATCTGCTTCAGTGTTTGGTTAGGTAATAAACTTCTGTCCTTGTGTGTCCTCACAGGAAATTGAAAAGAGGAGGAGGATTGAAGAAGCATACAAAAATGCTATGACAGAGCTTAAAAAAAAGTCCCATTTTGGAGGGCCAGACTATGAGGTATGAATGATATGCAGTTTACTGATTTAAATATTTATCCTGCTTCTTGAATTCCCAGAAGCAAAATTTCAGTGTCAGCTTCTGGTAGATCAAGAAAGGGGTATGGTTCTGTACCTGTTAAGGCATGCTAACAAGAAAAAGATATGGTTCTGTACCTTTTAACCCAGACTTCTTACTAAAGTTTTCACTTTCAAATTATTCACTGACTGAACTGTATATGTCCAGCATCCTGTTTTGTACAATGGCTAGCCAGATGCCAGAGAAGGCTCATATAAGAGGCTCAGAGGTCTAAGGATCCCTTTGTTGCCGTCAAGTATATTGCACATCTGAATATTAAGTTCCCATTTAGCCATCATAGCTGGTGGTTACTGATGGACCTATTATCCATGAACTTGTCTGCTGTTGTTCAGTTGCACAGTCGAGTCCAACTCTTTGCGACCCCATGGACCACATCACTCCAGGCCCTCCTGTCTTCTATCGTGCTCCGGAGTTTGCTTAATTTCATGTTGGTTGCCTCGATAACACTGTCTAACCATCTCATCATTTGCCGGCCCCTTCTTCTTTGACCTTCAGTCTTTCCCAGCATCAGGGTCTTCTCCAGTGAGTGAACTTGTCTAAGCCCCTTTAAATCCATCGAAAGTAGTGGCCCTCAATATATTGTATTGTAGTGAATTCCAAAGAATTCCTTTTCTCTGTTCTGACCCATCAGCTTCACTGGGTGCCCTTGAATTTCTAATATTTTGTGAGAAAGAGGAAAGTTCTTCCTCCCCATTCTCTGTACCATACATAATTTTTAAACTTCTATGATATCCCCCACTTAGTCATTTTTTCTCTAAACTTAAACACTCTAATTTTTTTTGCCTTTCTCTTGATTATCCTGTTTGCCCTTCCTTACACATTTTCTAGCTCTGTACAACCAAAATTCCAAGTGCACTTCCACCATATATTTATACGAGAACATTATTCACCATCTTATTTTTTGTTTCTTTCTTAAGAATTTGTCTCTTTGATAGAATCTGTTGTCTTATTGCTGCTGAACATTCGACACTTGCATTGGGCTATCCTCAACAGCTTTCTTTCCTATTCAGTCACCATCAGATCAGTTCCATCAATGCATATGTAAAGCTAAGTTTTTTGCCCCAGTGTGTATCCCTTGTTCTTTCTTACGTTGCACCTCATTTGCTGCTTCTTTGCCCACTCACAGAATTTGGAGAGATCCTCTTGAGAGGTTTCACATTTCACTTCAGTTTTTACCAAATAATTTGGTGTTTGTAATCTTGGCCATTATACTGCTCACAGCTCTGGTTCCCTGTTTCTGATAAGCAAGGAGAGTGGAAGTCACCTGTTCTAAAGCAAGAGGAAGGTCTTGATAAGGGCAGGGAATGTACAAACAGACTCCGCCCCCCGCCCCCCATGATCCTATGTGCTGTCTGCATTTAGATGGTGAGCAGGAAAAAAACAAGAATCTATTGAGCATTTTGAGTATCCCCCATCTGTGAATCAGGCCATATATGGATTGCATGAAAAAACTTAGGGAGAGGTTATATTATGCATTGTCATGTAAATGAAAACTATTAGGTATTTTAAATACGCAAAGTGTTTTTGTTCGCAAGACCCTCCTAAGTTGCTGAGTGGTGATAAAACATGCTACAACATCACAATACATGTTAAGAAAACAGCCAGCTAAAAACATCAGGGAAAAATTTATAGGAAAGCACTGTTGCCCCTGGATCAAAGCATTGTCATAATTGCATAATACTTACAAAAAACAAAAACAAACCCCAAATTGTCAAAATTAAAGAAATACAAGGAAGAACTTTGAAATATGTGTCATGATTAGTGTGTGTCCATTATGCCTTTTATGTAAAATAACTGGGAAGAAAGGGATAAGAAACTAGCCCATGTGTGTTTCCAACTGGCCCTGTTACTAATTATGATCTTTGTGCTGTAGCAGCTATGCAGACAAGAATGGTAGTGTGTACTGAGCAGCATATCCATGAGATTACTCCAGGCATGACCCCTCTTAAGTCAAGCACATTTAAGTGCTTCTGATATCATTGTGGAAGAGTTAAGATAATGGGGTTTAAAACAGTTCTGGGCGCAGCTTCCTCTGTATTAATAGATTTAATTTCAAACTTCTACTTGTCTGTATAGCATGCACAAAGTAGGTATACTTTTGTCCCAAAACTAAGAGGGTGACATTGAGCCTCACCATTTCTGAAAACATCCTTGTATAAATAGAACATATGTTTGCTTAGTTGCATGTTACTTTGTTTGTGTTCCATTACATTGTATTAATAGCTATATCCCCTACTCTTTAGTAAGTAGATATTTTTATCAGTGATTGCAGTTTAATTTGTGGTGTTACATTTCGATAACTTTAACTGTTACCTTAAAAAGTAGCAGAGCTCCATGTAAGGTGTAAAATAGGTATGAAAGATAATGGTGTTAAGTGAGTTTGAAACATAATGTTACCATTTTTAAAAGAAATCTGTCAGAAGCAGAGTTTTTGCCAGAGCTATACAGCTGTATTTTTAGAAGAACTGCTCTGTCTGAACTACAGTTATTTTCCATGTGATAAAGCGCTTGAAGTGTGTCTGGTTTCCTGTCTAACAAATTCAATTTTGCATCTGTTTACTGACTTTCTGTTCACTGATCTTTTCATAGGAAGGTCCCAACAGTCTGATTAATGAAGAAGAGTTTTTTGATGCTGTTGAAGCGGCTCTTGATAGGCATGATAAAATAGAAGAGCAGGTAATTTTAAGGTTTAAGTGTACAGTTAAGTGCTACAACAAGTCACAGAGGAACTGTATTAAGGTCTCACACACAGTACTTATCCAGTACACATATCTGTAAGTTAATGTGGCCCATATAATATTTATAGTAGTGTTCTGCTGTAGCCTGACAGAATACTACTTGTAAATATGAAAGTTGAAGACAAGAGCATGGATTCATTTCTTTAATACTTTAACTAACTGAGCACAGCAAACTTTGATTAGTTATGGATTTAAATTCTTTTTCTGCTTTCTAAATATTTTTCTTTAAAATTTGTGCTTAAAACCTAGTGTAGGGGTGTCAGACATAAGGCCCAGAACCGGCCCATCGAGGGCTGTTATGCGGCCTGCAGGCAACTTGTGCAAGGGAGGGGACAGGAGGCTGCTCAGGGGTGGGTGGAGACTCTCCAAATATGGCTTCAGCATGGCGGGACAACCTTGTCTGCAGCAGTCAAGCAGAAACCCTTCACTTCAGGGACTGGTAAGTTGGCCTGCAGCACTGGGGAAGCTGTCCCAGATGGCTACAGGGATCAGCATTTGCATGTGGGGGGGGCGGGGTATGCAGACAATATTCTGTTGGGGCATGGGAGCATCTGCCCAGCACTGCACTGCTGGCTCTCCAGTCTGCCCATGTGGGTTTTCCTCTGCACCCCCTCCCAGCCCATGGCGCCTTGCAGTGAGGACACACCAACTTGGAGTTTACCAGTTGCTGTCCTTTATAAAGTTTATATCTCTGGTACCCGGCATTACGTTTTATGGCACACATGGGCCGGCCCAACAAAGTGCCATTTATGTCAGGTCTGACCCTCTTAACAAATGAGTTTGACTCCTCTGACCTAGTGACATCTGCTTTGTCTGTACCTACACAGTGCAAACACTGTATATGTTAAGGCTTTGCGTTCGTAATGTGAGGTAGTATGTTGGGTTAGCCATAGACAGTTATGTGGGAACTGTTCATCTTGGCTTGTTTCGGACAGAACTGCCAGGGTGTGGTTTGGCTATCATGAATGGACTAGGTGGGCTGCCTGTTTTCCCCAACATGTTCCAGTTTTCTCCCTCGGTTCCTCACTTGCTCAGATCCTAGTTTGCATGATTCTCTTATCATGACAAGCTATGGTTTGTGTCAACCACTAAGCAAAGGGCAGAGGGGGGAACATGATGGCTTGCATGAGTGGCCAAACTAAGCCTTGGTCGCTATGCCTAAACTTCATTATGCTTTCTCAACATCAAGCAGCTCTGCATGTTGCATGCTAGTAAATGTATCTTTTCTGTCTAGTCGCAGAGTGAAAAAGTCAGATTACATTGGCCATCATCTTTGCCATCTGGTGATGCGTATTCTGGTGTGGGGACTCACAGGTTTGTTCAAAAGGTAAGATGATTTCCAGGCTTTCCTTTACCTCAAGTCAGTTTCTTGTATTCTTTCTGACTAATGTAACTGAACTGTTGTGATATAATCTGTCGAGGTTCCTGCTTAGAGTGAATAAAGTCATTCAAAATGCTTTTGATTTTGGAGAGAAAAGGGTAGCTTTTTTTTGTGAGTTCTTCTGATAAGCAATGGTGCCTGTATTTTCAGCATACCGAATTTCACAACTTACTTTGTATCACCTTAAAAGTCCTGCAGAAGGCTTGTCTTATACCCTAAGCAACAACTTTTGACATTACTGGGAATATATGTATTTTACAGGGTCGTGTTGGAGCACAATACATAATAGGTGCCTGAAGTCAGCATTTGCTACTCTGCTCACTGCTTATGGTGCTTTTGTTTTTTCCTTTTCTTCATTATCTTGTGCTTGGAAGTTGGTACTGAATGCTCTGTTGTGCCTTTGTTCTGATTACTTGGTTTTTTCTTTGTCTGTCTCTGTTAGCCCTATAGTCGCTCTTCCTCCATGTCTTCCATTGAGCTAGTCAGTGCCTCTGATGATGTTCACAGATTCAGCGCTCAGGTACTGTATAACTACACGGAGTGGATTTACAGATCTCTGTGCTGTGTGCCATCTGTTCCTCTTGATATACTAGCCATTTGTGCTTCTTTAAAAGCTGGTACAAATGTTCTCCTAAAGATATTACTTCTGTTCTAGAACCTACCTCTGGCCCTTCCCATGATTCTTCTGAACAAGCTGCAGAGACTGATAAGCTTAGTTATCTGGAACCATAACCCCCAGGAATTGAGTTTTCCATAATACAGCAAAGCAGACATTGCAGTGGTATTGCTGTTAAATACTATCATGCACCAGCTGACTGCCATGTTGCAATGATTTATAGATAGGGTTTTTTTCTTCCTGGAGCAGTAGGGAAGAAAATAGTGTACATATGTCATGATAAGGAAGTACAGAAGGAAACTCGTAGAAGAAAGAAGACAACTTGGATTAGACATAGAACTACCTTAGCTCCTGTAATTGCTTCATTTTGTTGTTTTCTGTTAAGACTTCTGTGAGGCAACATCTTTTGCCTGTTCTGACATTTGGGTTATGAAATAAATAATTCAACTTGCTGATAGAAGGTGTTCTCTCTCTGTTAGAAAAAAACTAAGTGCAACAAAGTTTTTCTTTGTGCACTATTTGTAAATAAGGAGTTAACTCCAGAAAAGTTCAGGGGGGGAAATATAGAATTTGGCCATTCCATACTTAGAGAGCCAACTAAGCATTTCATGGAAATATATTTTAGAGAGAAAATTATACAAATTGTACTGCGCCCCTTAAAGAATGCAGAAAATGTGTAGAAGGACCAGTCCTAAATGTTGGAGATGTAGCAACCATGTTGGAACTTTCTGCACATATGTGAGAGACTGTGAACCCATCAAGGTGTTATGAATTAAAGTATGGGAAACCATAAAGTCATAGTAGATGTTCAGTACCAGCAATATTTCCCCCCATAAGAGGGGAACATAAGAGTATGGAGGGGCTGTTAAATGATACCGTGGAGGGGCAGTGCCTGTATTCTTGGGGAGGAGACTGGTTGCAGAAAGGGCAGGGCTGCTGCCACTGGCTCCACCCTTCCCTTCCCCTCCCCTCCCTGTGCATTACTTTATGAGAGCAGGTAGATTTGTTAATCTGGTTTACTGTTGGATGAGGGTGACAATATTCTAAGTCACTTTGAGTCCATATTGAGTGGAGAAAAGTGAGTTGAAAGCACTCGAATGCAAACAAAATCAAATTTGGCAATATTTTATTATTTATTTCATTCCTTCATTCATTTATACCCTGCCTTTTTCCCCTATGGGGACCCAAAGTGGCTTGCACTGTTCTCCTGTCCTCCAGTAACAACTGTTAACGTTGGCAAGAATTTTGATGGCAAGCCATTGAAAGCAAACTGTAATACCATCCTTGATGCATTGGAAGCATGACATTTTCAAGATAATGCTTTGAGTAACCGAACCTTTTACAGAATCTGTGTGAAGGGAGAGGCAAAAAGAAGGAGAAATTTGAAAAATCAATGCTGCTGTCTGCTGACATACTGGAATAGCATAATGCCAACAGATAATCTACAGCAAGCTATTACTCTGATTTAAGTCTTTGTCTTTTTTGGGTAATGAGAAATTATTCTGGATCTTTGGAATCTTTCTAAGTTGTAGTCAAACAGATTTTTTTGCATGTGATTCTAGTTTTCCTTCCCATTTTAGTACTTATATTCCTCTAAAAGAAAAAAACCCTGTGACATCTTAGCAAAGCACCTTTGAGCGTATCCACAATACCTTTGCTTTGTGAAGGGAACTGACTTAAAATAAAATACCAGGTACAAATGGAAGTGTAGAAAGGGCTTAAAGTCTTCCTGTCTTGCCTTGTATGTCATGCTACTGTCCACTCCTAAAAACAAAGCAATGTTAATTTGTATAATTTCCGAATTTCTTCTATCTCTCAAATTTCTGATAGCTTCCACTATCTTATCAAGTCTTGACATTAACTCTGAAGGGTTTTCTTTAAGCGCTTTACAGTTAGGACTTTTCCATTCAAGCCTTCCTCTGTTATTTATAACAGCAGCAGAAAACCAGTAGCACCATTGCGCAACATCACAAAGAAAGGGAATAAAGCTACCCTAAAACAGGGAACTATTGAACCTTGTGATTCATGATTCCTGAAATTATCCTTAAATACTCGATTGCATTTCTTTGCGACATAATCTTCCCAAAAGCATTTTTGAAGACGCTCCTTATAATACTTAATAATGAAACCAACAACATGGAAGAATTTTTAAACATATGGTGAATCCATGATAACAGTCAGCTTTAAAGATCTAGAAAACTTCCAGTTATTACTGTTCTAGCTCTCTGGTCTTGGGATTTTAATAAATATACAACTAGTGAAAATTGGGGGGGAACCCAAACTTTGTGCATTGATTGTGATATCTTCTCATGCCAAGCTGTTTGGTGCAGTGGTTAAGTGTGCAGACTCTAATCTGGGAGAACCGGGCTTGATTCCCCACTCCTCCACTTGCACCTGCTGATGTGACCTTGGGTCAGTCACAAGCTCTGGCACAGCTGTCCTTGAAAAAGAGCAGTTTGTGTCAGAGTTCTCTCAGCCCCACCCATCTCACAGGGTGTCTGTTGTGAGGAGGGGAAGGGAAAGGAGTTTGTAAGCCACTCTGAGACTCCAAGTGAAGGGCGGGGTATAAATCCAATCTCCTCCTCTCCTCCTTCTATGGAGGGCATTTACAATATGAAGAAATCTGAGAATCTGTCATATTTGAATGAAGGATCACATTTCTATGCTTTGATAACATGCAGCACAAACCTTTGTTCATATCCTTTGTAATTGCAAGAGCCGATCTTTTTACCTGTTCTCTTTGATTATCCAGTAACTGAAGGATCTTCTTCGTGGTCTCTGTGCTTCACACCAATGGGTTTAGTGCGCACGCGCTGACCCAACCGGTGCTGTAGCAAGCTCTGTTTCAACGGATTTTCGCGCCGAGCCCCTCCAGGCATGCGCAGGAACCCCACTGCGCATGCCCAGAGGGACGGGCGCGGACATCCCGCCAGATCTCTTTCTACCGCCGCGTTGAAAGGACCCTTTTTGCCTTTTCTCCTGACCGGATCGTTGTAGCCGCCTTCGGGCCTCTAGTTAATTTTCGTTTCTTCGGATTATTCTTCCGTTTAATTTTTCTCTTTCGTTTTTCCCTTAACAAAAAAAAAAAAAGTACTTTAATTTTCGTGAGGGGAATTTTCCTCAGGCCTTCGGGCCCCCCCCCCCCCCTCCTCTCTCTTTTTCCTCGGCATTTTGTTCATTTTCGCTGTATGGAAAAGAAAAAGAAGAAGAGTAAGAAGTGGGGATTTTTTAATCGTTGTAAGAAGTGTGGAAGTAAATTGGCTCCCCCAGATGGCCATGAACTTTGTTTATTCTGCTTAGGCGAGTCTCATAAGCCGGAGACTTGTAAACATTGTGCTAAATTCTCGAATCAGACGAAAAAACGTGCGGCACGGTTGAAAGTTGCTTTGTTGGAATCCGCGCTTCACCCGTCTTCCCCAATGACGGACCAGCCTTCTACCTCTCAAGCAACCATCGATACCGGTATGTCGGCACCGACGAAATCGACGTCGAAAACCGCTTCCAAATCTACAACACAGTCAGACCCTAAAGTCAAGCCTGTGAAAGGCCATTCTACTAGGAAGGACAAGCCGCCCAGGTCATCTAAGGAGGGTAAGACAGTGCCCTCTGAGGGCGTTCCTTTGCAGACCCCAGCACCAATAGTGTCGGAATCAATGGTCACATCAATATCGGAGGCGTCGATACCGACTGAGGCGTCGATACCGGAGCTTCAACCTCCTAGAATGTCGCCTTCTGGTCTACTGGCTTCTTCCTTAAGCCAACAGATTCCAGAGATCGTTGATATCGATACGGCGGAACACATGAGTCACCCGATAGGTGCAGAGTTTTCCCCCGCACAATCCACTTCATCGGCATCGATGCTTTCGGAACTGCCCGATGCCGACGGCTGTCGACACCGACCAAGACATAACGTGGAGCGTTATCATCCCTCTCAGTTGATTCAGGCTATCGATACCGATGTGTCTGGCTATTGTCATGCAGCCCAGGGACAAGAACATACGAGGGCTAGAAGCCGCTCTCCTCGGTCCTTTCGACCACCGCTCTCATGGGATGAGAGACAAATGAGGTATTTGTACGGGCCATATCACCCTCCAATGCCATGGCTCACACCTGCTGCATATTCAGACTGGGACCGTTATTCTGTTCGTTCCGAGCACAGGTCTCGGTCACCTACTAAGTCACGACCTTCTGCAACGGTGTCAAGGCCTCCAGTCAATCCTTTACCTCCTCCACTAACACTAGAAACACAGCCTAAGGTTCCAACGCCGAAACCCTTGGTGCCTGCAGTACCACTTGTCCCTATTACTCCTCAAACTGATTCAGAACAAGAATCATCAGAGGATATGGCAGAAGGTTCCAACTCCGAAGCTTCAGTGATACCTACATCTCCAGATCACACGTCTCCAACACCGGACGTTTCCCAGGACTTGCTAATTTCGCCGTCCGATAATTTGCATACTTATGCAGACTTAATCAAACGAATGGCCGTTGCTTTGAATCTCTCTGTGATCCAGAAGCTTCCTCAGTCTACCGACTCACTATATGATGTTGTTCAAATGGATACTTCCTCGGTGATGGCCCTCCCCATGTCTTCCGTTTTAGTCCAAGCGGCTAAGTCTCCATGGAAGAACCCATCCTCTGCCCCGGTATCCACGCGAAAGCTGGATCACATGTATAAAATTCAGGACCCAGAAGCAGAGTTCTTAATGACGCATCCGGCTCCTAACTCAATGATTGTGACATCATCGTCCAAATCTCAAAGGACGCACACTACTCCATCTGATAAAGAAGGGAAAAAGCTAGATGTGTTTGGACGCCGGTTTTACTCTTCGGGCGCATTGGCAATTAAACAATCCACTTATCTAGCATGCATGAGCCGCTATCAGTATTCCCTTTGGGAGAAA